CCAACCTGCAAACACCAATCTTAATTCAGAAATATTGTTAAGGAAATTACCACTGCTTAGCTAGAGGGAACATAAAAGATAATACAGGTGCACTAATCACATTTCCAGTACAATGAAACCAAATGAAATGAAAGAAAGCTGTTGGGTCAAGAACTTCCTGACATATTATCCCATCAGAGGAACTCATCATTTGGTGCAGAGCTAGAAATACAGAAAGCTTCAAGTACTGCAAGGTAACAGTGCTGCAGTGCTGTAAAAAAGTAGCAGAGAGGGGAGGGGACTATAAGGCACGCAAGTGGGGAGTCTGCATGAGTGCAAAAGATAAGTGGAAGAGGCAGGAGAGGAGAGGAAGAGTCCCATCTTCCTGCACAGCGAAGGATGGATAGAGGGGAGACAACTCAGCACAGCGACAAGAAAACGGGTTATCTGATAACAAGTGAGCAAGCCCTCCTCCTTGTGAAAGAAGATCTGACAGAAAGCAAGTCCTGCTTCCCTTATTCCCATCTTGCCAAGTTTGAAGAATGGTGGGAACATCAGCAAGTGATCTTAACAGATGGGTTTGTACTTTTCGTATTGCTTCAGGTTGCATTAATCTCTGTGGTGGGTTCTCAGTAAGCTGAGAAAATGTCACCAAAACAAATGAACCAGAGCAGGCCGATATGCTATCAACAGATGCAGAGAATCCCTTCTGCATGCTGTAGATAGAGGCAAATAGTTGGCATTCTTGCTTGTCTGCTCCCTACAGCCCCTCCAAAACTAATCAAAGATACCACTGGCTGAGGTGGGAGAATTAATGCCTAAAATCAGCAGAGAAATACCCAGAGAAATAGGTGAAATCTGTGCAGAAACATGGACAATGGCAGGGAAGTGAAGTGATGTAACAGAGGAGTTCAGGCAGTCAGGGAACAGGGACAGAGGAGGGGACAAAGAACAAAGGCGACAGGTGTTGGAAGAAATGTCTTGAAGACGGGCCTTATTTATTTCTGTCTGTCAAAACCCTGCCTGCACATGCATTACCATTTCAAGAATATTGCCAGTACTTTAACTTTTCTTGCATTCTCTCCTCGTTCCTACCCGATAAAGTCCTTTCAGTGTATGAGGTCCAGGAAAGAAAAGTGATGTTTTGCTGGGATTGCCAAGGGTGTCCTTGATGGACACAGGAAGGACACAGGGCCAGCAAAGGCACCTATAGGGATTTGGTGCATTCAGCAGAGGAGTGTAGCATAGCATGAGACAATGTAGTATAGAAGGGGCAGCTAAGGATCTCTGTTTAAAGTATCAGAGCAGAGTTAGGATTACCAAAAGCTCTTTAACACTTCCATAAAGCAAAGAGTGAATAAATTTAAGGTGAAAAGAAGGTGAGGAAAAATCCAGATCACACGAACATAATTTCAGATAATCAGGGAATACAAAGCAAATAATATTCATTTTGCTTTAATTAGTCTGTCCTTGAATGTCGTTTCAACACACCATTGCAGCTGCTAAGATTTTCTCTTTACATTTGCTAAAGGAAAAAGGAACAGAGCAGAAGAACACTGCAACACTTGTTTCTTCCTGAAGTTTGCTATACTCCATGGGCCTGCTTTAAATCAAATGCCTGGATGACCTGAGCACCTTGAAGCAGGCAAGTTGCATCCTTATTCACACTTCACTGCACTCAGGGGATCACTGCTATGTAGGTTAACAGACAGGCTACAATACGCACCCATGCTGACACTACTTAACAATGTGGTACTAAGGGAAGGATGCTGGATCTTTGGGGGTTCACACACACACACGCCTCTCCTTGGCTCACACCAATGGTTCCTCAGCTCACCCCTTCACTGCTTTGCTAGTGAAAGCACATGTAGCCACAGCTCTAAGACCACTGTGCACTGTGATGTCAGGGAGCAGCACATTTGGATTCACCACACTACACACTTGGAGACTGCCTAGATACTGTTTGACAACACATTTTGCTTTAATGCATAAGTTTGATGCAATGTAATTTTTCCTTATAGAGGTATTCTGTTGGCTTGCGTGGCTTTCCTGTTTTCATCAAGCAGACAAAAGGTTTAAACTCTATAAAAGGTGGTTGATATTTTAGCTCTAATCAAAATGTATTTCATGTGTCATTCTTTCCTTAGACTGACCTAGTCTGTGATACATTATTTACATAACTGTTGCAATACCTATTTCAAAACCAACTCGACAGCCCTCTCCAGTACCGTAGGCTGCCCTGCCTGTCACCGTGATGGGTAAACAGTGTCACCTTTTCAGGGCCCGATGAAATACAGAGTAGTAGTAAAGGGTACTATCCATCACAATGACACTAAGTGGGTTTTTCAAGTAGATTTCAGATCACAAATGCTCACATTTTTATTCACAAATGCTGTTTAGACTGCTACCAGAGAGCACAAATTGGATGGCTCACATACAATGGCCGTATGATGAATGGACATGACAGGTGGTCAAAGAAAATGATTCTTGCTATTCTACAAATAATCTTGTCAACATAAAGTAGAGCTGTAGCTTTGCTGTTAGCCAGACTGCAGTTACTTAATGGTTTTATTTGCTTGAACTTCTAGCAAACCAAATATACAAATGAGACACAATGAAGTAGCAGCAGCATCAAAGCAGTATTAGCAATTCAACCTGATTATGTGACACAATAGAAATTTCCTACTAATGACGTGTCACATTTGAAAGAAAATTATTCGGATTATGAGTAGCTATTACAAGAATACCTTTTCACAGGAAAACTCTCATGATTTTGCAATCACAATCCACTAAAAGATATTCAAAACATGCAACTCGTAGTTTCACTGCAAGCAATCAAGTCACCTTCTGATGGCTGATCGCAGCAACAGCCACAGCCTGCTACTTCTCATTTAAAGTCTTCTTACTTCCATTAGTTTAAATAGTAGAAATTACTGTGTAGGATTGAAAGTCTGGAAGGTTAGAACACTATCAACTTATCTGCAGCCTAAACAAATAGGGAAATTTCCCTTTTAGGCAAAACTCTACATCTAAGGACAATTTGGGAAGACATTCTGAAGAATAAAAGATCTGAAGTTTTTTGAGGGTGCCAGGTAACTCAAAGATCTGACTGTAAAATTGTGCACAGTCACTCTTTGGCTCAAACACAAGCTGTAAGTTTTGCCAAAGTGAAGGTCCAGCCCCAGTGTGTACAATGCAGTGTGTGTGGTCCTCATTTCTGCAGAACTCAGAGAAAACTGCCCTGAAATATAACTGAAGCTAGTACATGATTTTTTTTTTTTTTTGTGAGAACAGTGGGTTTCCTTTAATCTGATTAATTTGTTAGCAACACTTTGATTTTCATGAAAAAAAATCTCAAAGGCCGCAACTGTACTTTCACCTCATTACAAATCCTCTTACAAACTTACAGTGAGAAATCAATATTACATATCGAGTTTCTAAGTGATAAATGTGAGAAGCCAAAGCTATTCATTAGTACTTTTTACTTGTCTGTGGAAAAGTTAAAGCATACATCATGCAGGTTAAGACCTGCCCCTGTGTGCTTCATTTCACTTCTTAACAACAAACACAAAGTTGTTGGGTTGACAAAGCCCCAGAACAGAGGCTGCGTGGAGACAACAACCATGAGACTCAATGCAAAAACTGGGCGTGTAAGATAGACAAAAACAAGAGACATTCTCCCAGAGGAGAACAAGAACTCCATTCCTTAACCTCTCTGGGATAAAAACCTTGGACCAAAAAGCTTCAGTGCTTCTAAGACAGCTAAGCTGAAGCTTTTGAACTTCAGGGTGGGAAGCTAAAGGATCACCCTTTCTACCAGCCTTCGTATTTCCTACAGCTAAAAATTTAGAATTATGTTAATAGTCCATAAAACAGATTAGTTAGCAACATGCAACTTAACTCATTTTGACTCATTAAAGGATTTTCACAGTGCATTACTTGCTACCAATAAACTTTCACAAACAAAAGGCAAATACACAACAGTTACATTTTAGATATTCAGTAACTGATGTTACAAATATTAAAATATTCACAAAATATAAAGGTATTTTGGAAGAGGCATCCTCCAAGCGCAAAGCCCTGTACAATTTGTTCCTATATAGTCTATTAGTGCTCTAAGTCATTAAAAACATATGTTCTAAACAACAAAGAAACAAAGATGGAAAAGCTCCACCATCACTGGACTAACATACAATATTTTTTTTACAAAGGAGAAAGAAACAAGTAATATGGTTAGCAATGAAATTGCAACTTTAATATTTCAGAAATATTTATTGAGATTCATACTATCTCAGCTAGGAAAGCAAACAGAAATGACGACCCCTTTGTGTATCCCCAATATATTTGGAAAGCAAATATATGAAGGCAGCTAGCGAAGACAGTGAAGAGGATAAAACAAGATAATCTAAGATCTTATTTCATTTGGCAGGCAACAAATCCCAATAGGCAGATCTCTCCACTGACAAAACTTCCTAACAAAAGCTACAGTGAGATAAAATTACAAATTGTGGTTTTCAAGAGGAAACAGAGCAGATGTGTCAACTGAGCTGCCACAGAAGTAAGCAAGTGAGATCCACAACCATAACTCAGGAGCTTGAAGTATAAGCCCAGTACTCCCATGGTTTCACAGCAGAAAACCTCATCTTACCCTTCCTACAGGTATCCTTCAAACCAGTAGCACTTATATGTCAACAGGGATAAAATGTAGCTCTAGATACAGTTTTCAAATTTTTACACCCAAGCAAAAGATGCCCATTCATAAACTCAGATACTTAAAAAAAAAAAAATAAAATAATACTAAAATGAACAACAACAACCCCCTCCCCCCATATATCATATTATGTGTTCGGGTCTGACTACTATTCAAGTTTGAATTGAGATTGGCCTCATCATATTTTACCTAAATATGACAATCTTAAGGCCAGGCATTTCACCACATGTACTTCCAACCAAGTTCAACAAAAGCTAATGTTTTCTAACTCCATTTCACCACAAATGACAGAGACAAATGGTTATATTACCTCAAGAGTTCCTTTGGCAGAGTAAGCTGCATACGAGTACAGGAGGTCTTGGCTATGAAGTGTTTTGGTCTCTCTGTTGCACTGTTGCCCACTAGGATAAAAGCATTCACCGCTGTTTTTCAGAGTTACTGTGTTTGAAGAAGAGCCCGGTAGGTCAAGCAAAACAGAGTAATTTACCAGCCGGACATCTTCAAGACCTTGGGAACGCCACTGAACCAGAATTTTCATTGCAATGTCTACATCATCTTCTCTAGGGAACTGTAACAGATCTCTGGAAAAAAAACATAAGTAAAAACTGTTTAATTTATTTCCCACCAAGACACTTGTACCTTAATATGCATCAGTCCATAATTTTATTAATAATGTACCACCAAATATGGGGGTTGGGGAGGGAAATCACCCTTCATATTTGCAAATAATTTCTTAGCAACTATGAGACAAAAGCAACTGCTTTTTGTGAAATAAAAATAAGAAAAAACATTTAGAGAAAAAATACTTAATTGAAACAAAGAATCCTCCAGAAATTATCACAGTAATTATTTCAAAATTGATCTCTCCGGTGATGATTTTCTGATACAGCATCAGTTTAACCAAGCACTGAATATAACGAACACTGAAGTAGCACTTATGTGAAGTAGCATTTCAGGGACTTCAGGTAGGGCATGCTGCTGAATATTAACTGCAATTATATGTTTGGTTTAAATTCATTACGTAAAGCAAATTTGCTAAAGCGAATGGAACTGTTCCCCAAAATACTCTGCTGTCAGGAAGTTTTCCTCAGATTTCCTTCCTGCACTGAAGGATTACCTGAGCCAACAGCTTGGCAAGTGTATGAAATGAGTCTGGAAATTATTTTGGCAGTCTCTACCAGATGGCCTAACTGAGACTTCAGAAGGGTTTGCCTGGGCTCGTAGCACTGGGTTTGTACCACTGTTTAACACCTGCTACCAGATGGGCCATACAATGAAAGCAGTGACTGCACTGAAGGACCACACTACTGCCCAGGGAATGCCAAAAGATACAAGATGCAGAGAGTATTTTAAAGATAACTTTAGAGGACAGACATGCTGAGGGGACAACTAAAGACTCTCCCTACTTACCTAGGCAAGCAGGGCTCTCGGGACTCAGAAATAAGACTAAGGATTACAGAGGTATTGATTTCCAAGTGCAAAAAAAACAACAACTGATACTGCCTGAAACTCTTGCTTATAACTTTCTCTTCACAAAAATGTCAATTACATTTAGATGCTTTAGAGTTCTTAATAGAACCTTATAAAATACCTTGGCTGTCTTGCACAACCATCAAAAGCAATGGTTGAATAAAATGGTCTTTAAAAAAAAAACATTATTACAAATGACAGGTTTTTTTGAGAATCCCACAAAGTGCTTTACAGTCACCCCTATGCTACTCAGAACCCAGCTGCAATGCTGCAAGCAGTATGGTCTCAGCTAAAGGTATGGGCACTGCTTCCATTAGGGTCTGCACTAACTCAAGGGTGATCTCCACCAAGGAAAGCTTATGACAGAAAGCAAGCACAATGACTACCTTCTGTTTCAACAGACCTTTCAAAAAGTGAGTATTTACTGCCTAGATAAAACCTTAAAAAAAGGTATAAAGACAATAACACCCATTGTAGCCTAGAAAAAAAAGTTTACTACATTCAAATATCTAATGCCCATTATCACATTATCTGGGTAAAATAATTATTCGAACAGCCACAGGACTTTAAAAGTACAAAAAAATGTATCTGTTTAAAGAAGCATGTTGTATGCTAGGCTGCACTGCAAGAGCAAGGTTATTCACACAGAAAGCTCAAAAACATTATAAGAATGCCGGATTTATGCTGAAGACTTCAGAGATCCTGTCAGGTGGAATTACAGTATTGCAGAATTAATCTTTTTAAATTATCTAAAATAAGTCTTTAAGCAGTCTATACAAAACAGACAAGTTAATTCAATCTGTAGTATATTACAAATTTCCAATTTCCTCTCCTGTGCCTGCTAATGTAGTGATATAAACTTGGGCAATGCAGAAATAAAGTTTTTATTAACATAATCATTAACATAATATCTGCATTTCCCTCAGGAGATAGAAACATTAATAGAATAAACAGTTGAAGAAACTTCTGCCAGGACAACAACATTATGGTCACTGCAACAAGAAGTATTCTATTTCAATAAAAAGAATTAAGCATTAAAAGAAGACACAATAAGCAAGTTGCTCGCTTACTAACATAAGTTAATTTCCACTTCATAATTAAGCATGTCTTTGAAACTTTTGTGACAACATATCTGACTGAGTTAATGAGCACATTCACTATTTACTCCATAATGTCTTTATAGAATGTTAAAATCAAATTGCAAATTATAAGCACACATAATATTACATAAATCAGCACATATTAGACTACTTGGACAAATCTTACGAACATCATCTTAAAAGATATTTGTGGGTTTTCGGTTTTGGTGTTTTTTTGTTTAGATTTCTCACAACCACTTTTCTTTGATATAGTTTTGCTGATTGCATGAATTTAAAGTCTGAGGTAATTTAATTCATTTTTATTATATACTAATTGGATATTAAGTATAATATGTAAAAACAGCATTTCCTAAACCAAATCAAATTCAGAAAACTGTAAAGTTCGGCAGTTTGTCCTGGAAAAATATGAAAAATTCACATGCATTTCATAGTCCTTCTCTGCAAATTGTGAATTAACATGCTTTCTAAAACTTGCAGGGCACTGAGAGTCATAGTAATAAGATTTAAGCAGTGAAAAGAAACAGACCCTTGAGATGATTATGTTTCTCTCTTTTGCAAGCGGCTGCATACTCAGTAGAAATCAATAGCAATGCTGTTGCCAATCTCCATCTACAATACTGCCTTTAATAATGCCAGCCAAATTTTTGATTCCCTTGCATTAAAGAGATACTCTATTCAGTTCAGGTTCAGTCAACAGGAATAACCACAAGTTAATGGGCACATCCTAGTTGCTGTAAATCTGCATTATTTATTGAAATAGAACCATCACAGACTTAAGATTTGATCTCAAGTTAGAATCAATGTTAATATAGCAGTAACAGTCTGGACAATACCATGCTTTTATCAGATACTCCCAAAGAGATTTCCAAAAATTACTGGCCTTTACCTTCTAATACAGATCAAATATTGAACTAATGTACATTTGTCGTGGTTTAAGCCCACGCCATAAATCAGAACCACACAGTCTACTCCCCCCCTGCACCCAACCGTTCTTCCCCCCCCGCTCCTGGAGGGATGGGAAGGAGAACTGAAAGAATGTAACTCGCAGGGGTTGAGATAAGAACAGTCAGGTAACTAAGGTATAACACAAATCACTACTGCTACCACCAATAATAATAATGGTAAGGCAAATAACAAGGGAAGAGAATACAATACCACCCACCGACTGATAATACTCAGCCCAACCAAGCAATGAACTAGCCCTTCCAGGTAACTCTAAGTTAAATCCTGGGCATGACGTGCTGTGGTATGGAATACCTCTTTGGTCAGTTTGGGTCAGGTGTCCTGTCTCTGCTTCCTCCTAGCTTCCCCTCCTCCCTGGCAGAGCATGAGGCTCACAAAGTCCTTGGTCAGACTAAACATTTGAACAGTAACTAAAAACACTGGTGTTATCAGCGCTGTTCCCAGGCCAAAAGTCAAAACCACAGCGCTGCACCAGATACTAAGAAGGAGAAAAAATGACTGCTACTGCTGAACCCAGGACAACATTAGAACAGGACATAAATTTGTTCATGAGTATTCTGCTCCATCTCAAATAAGATGGTTCCTGAACTGAAAAAAACAAAACCAGGAAAAAAAATGGCAGTTAAAACTCAAAAAGCATACCCTACTTCACAGGTAAACTTTTCCTATGTCAATATGATGACAAGATCAAGAAAACATTCACGAAGACACCTTCTTAGATTTCCTGTGTAAACAAGAAGACTATTTTACTGCCTGAATGCCCTAGCCAGCAAAGAGCAGCAGACCATGAATGCTGAAGGTTTAAAGTTCTAAAACTAGAAAAATAATCTTAAATAAGGCAAAGATATTACTGTAATAAAGCCAGGCTTTCTACAGCCTCTGTAGCTTGAGAAGACCAATCTCTAACAGTTGATTATAAAAGATAAATGAACACATGGGCATACACACAAAATACGGCAATTTTCATTTTCAAATTGGTAACCATGGGGAACATGGAGCCATAGCAGCTTAATGGAAAGTCATCTGCTAGAACAGCACTTCTTTTAACACAGCTTGGTAAAGAAGAGAACAAGGTTTGCAAATAAGTCAGCTGCTCAGTGCTGGTGATACACTGGGACACTGCAAAAAAAAACAAAACACACAAGGGACACTGAAAAATTACAATAGGTCACTAACAATAAAAAAATCAGATAATTTAACTCTATGACGAAATTCCTTATCAGGCAATCCTATTAAACTGCTACAACTGCCCCACAAACCAGATCTAAAACTGTAGCAGGATTCTACAGATATAATCTTAAAAATTTAAAGGCACAGCATTTTCCCTCAAAAATGAAGAAAATCAAGTGTGGTTGGTTGGGGGCAGATTTTTCGGCAAAGTACCTGTTTTCAGATTTGGGAAGCTGCAAGCTACATGAGATCGAAGTGTTATCTTGCTTAATACACAGTAGCTGGTAGCAAATAATCAAAAAAAAGAAAGCAAGAAACACATCACATGGGGTTTTATAGACTTTATTTATAGACTTTCATGCATATGTCATTTTTCCTACCCGCAAACTTTGCCCAGGCCAAGTTTTAGAAATGTTTACATATGCTCAGGATTTCAGAACTGGTTTCAGCCCATTAACAGCTGAAATGTGGTAGTATCCACAGTCCTGGGCAAGTACAGAACACTTACACGGACCAACTGCTCAGCATATGCACAAGTATTTTTTGCAGTTGCATCCAGAGTGTTTATTTGTATTTATCACACATAGCATGTACACACAGCAAACAAACTGCATTCAGGAAATACCACCTGCCCAAGCCACATCTGCTTAAATTTTAATTACATGTTCCTGTTAATTGGGGCCATCAGCTGGCTGGTCTCCAACCTGCCTGGTTGGATCTCCCTGGTCTGAGCTGACTGCCACAAACCTGCTGATAACAAAATAAATTAAGAAAACAAACAAACAAAAAAAAAACAACAAAGTTCAAGAGAGGACAAAAGTGAGGTTAGAACATGCAAGAGAAACTCTCAAGGTGTAAACAGGTGTCTACATGCATCC